TTTTTTTTTTGTTTTGTTTTTATCACATTGAATTTGGTTTAATTCAATTTTTCTTTTTTATTTTAGTAAGTTCAACTTTTATTTTAGATTCGAAGGGTACATAGGCAGGTTTGTTACATGGTTATATTGCGTGATGCTGAGGTTTGGGGTACAAATGATCCCATCACGCAGGTTATGAGCATAGTACCCAATAGCTAGTTTTTCAACCCTTGTCCCAATTCCTCTCTCCCCTACTAGTGGTCCCCAGTGTCTGTTGTTCCCATCTTTATGTGCCTGTGCGCCCAACATTTAGCTCCCATTTATAAGCAAGAATGTCGGTATTTGGTTTTCTGTTCTTCTATTAATTTGTTTAGGATAATGGCCTCAAACCGCATCCATTTGCTGCAAAAGACATGGTTTTGTTCTTGTTTATGGCAGCATAGTATTCCATATGTTGTATATATGCCACATTTTCTTTATCCAGTCCACCACTGATGTGTACCTAGGTTGATTCCATGTCTTTGTGAATAATGCTGCAATGAACAGACAAGTGCATGTGTCTTTTTGGTAAAATAATTTATTTTCCTTTGAATATATACCCAGAAATGGGATTGCTGGGTCAAGTGGTAGTTCTATTTTAAGTTCTTTGAGAAATCTCAGCTGGGCATATTGTCTCATGCCTATAATCCCAACATTTTGGGAGCCTGGGGCAGGAGGATAACTTGAACCCAGGAGTTGAAGACTAGCCTGGGAAACATGGTAAGACCCTATCCCTACAAAAAATTAAAAATTAAAACATTAGCCAGGCATGATGGCATAGCCCTGTAGTCCCAGCTACTCAGAAGCTGATACGAGAAAATTGCATGAACCCAGCAGATATAGACTGCAGTGAGCCATCATTGCGCTGGGCGAGAGAGTAAGACCATGTCAAAAAACAAAACAAGGGCAGGCGTGGTGGCTCACACCTGTAATCCCAGCACTGTGTGAGGCCAAGGCGGGCCGATCACCTGAAGTCAGGAGTTCGAGACCAGCCTGACCAATAAGGTGAAACTCTGTCTCTACTAAAAATACAAAAATTAGCCAGGCGTGGACAACAAGAGCAAAACTTTGTCTAAGAAACAAAACAAAACGAAACACCACCACCACCACAAAAACAAGAAATCTTCAAACTACTTTCCACAGTGGCTGAGCTAATTTACATTCCCATTAACAGCGGATAAGCATTCCTTTGCTCTGCAGCCTTGCTAACAGATGTTAGCCAGACTGAGGCAGGAGAATGGCTTGAACTCGGGAGGCAGAGGTTGCAGTGAGGTGAGATCATGCCACTGCACTCCAACCTGGGCAACAGAGCAAAAACTCTGTCGCTAATAAATAAATAAAAAGAAAAAAGAAACAGAATGGTATTTCCTAGGTTTTCTTCTAGGATTTGTATAGTTTGAGGTCTTACATTTAAATCTTTAATCCATCTTGAGTTAATTTTTGTATATGGTGAAAGGTAGGGATGCAATTTCATTCTTCTGCATATGGCCAGCCAGCTGTCCCAGCATCATTTATTGGACAGAGAGTCCTTTCCTTATTGCTTATTTTTGTTGACTTTGTCCATGATTAGATGGTTGTGGGTATGGGGCTTTATTTCAGGGTTCTCTATTCTGTTCCATTGGTCTATGTGTCTGTTTTTGTACCAGTACAATGTTGTTTTGGTTACTGTAGCCTTATAGTATAGTTTGAAGTTGGATAATGTGATATGCCTCCAGCTTTGTTGTTTTTGCTTAGGATGGCTTTGGCTATTTGAGCTGTTTTTTGGTTCCATATGAATTTTAGAATAGTTTTTTCTTATGTAGTGAAAAATGACATTGATAGTTTAATAGGAATATCACTGAATCTGTAGATTGCTTTGAACAGTATTACATCGTGCCATGGCACTCCAGCCTGGGGGACAAGAGCGAGATTTTGTCTCAAAAAAAAAAAAAAAA